TTTTGCGAAAATATTTATTGTTGGGTTACGGTAGCCCTCGCCTGCCGGCTGTGTTTTCGAAAATTCTCCTTGAAATACGGTGGCCTAACTTGTGTGAAAATTCGGCCACAACTCCATTTTTTTTGCACAAGAATAATATAAACGAACATGAGAAAGGCACAGAGAAGTTATCACACGAATTAGGAATCACGGAGAACAATGAACAATTAACAAGAAAAGATAAATGACTGATTGATTCATGCAGCTTCATCGTCTGATAGTAAACTCCTGTTGACAGATTCGATTTCTTGTGACAATCGAGGCGTAGCTGCTTTTCTAAGTAAATCGAATGCCATTAAATGGCTGGATATGGACAAGAGCACCAATAGAGCCAGAGAAATACACATCGAAACAATGAACTGGGATATGCTCATTCCAATGTCCAGCCAGCTGCCATCATCTTTAAGTTGGTGGAAGAAACACTGAAATAAGATGGTTTTCAAAAAACGGATTAAAACCATTTCCCACCATCGACATGAAGTCTGTGAATATTAATGAGAAGCAGCACAATCTTTGAATCGATTCAGGATCAAATCGGATGATAGAAGCAAATGCAGATGACACCAGAAGAATCGGAATCAGAAGTTTTAGAATCAAGAGTATTGCCATGATAAAAGGACTAAACACAGAAATAAATAAATTCAGTGTGGAAGGGTTGAATGAGTTGATTGAAGCGAAATTTCCAGTCCCAAACAGAGTGCAAAGGACGAAAGAAACACAGACGACAGTCCTTCGCACTTCAACATACCCACCAGTGGCTACTGAAAGAATACCTTATTGTAGCAATAAGCACAATTTCGAAATTTCTTACCTTTGGTTGAATCAATTTTAAGTTGAAACAGTTCCACATCCGAGAGATGGCCGAACTCGAAACGAACGAACATGGCTAATAGAAACAGAAATACTATTACAAACATCGATTCGTATGAGATGGATAGCAACGTATATGGGACCTGAATAGTACTGTATTTCAGAGCAAATGTAGTTTCAGACTTACATAAAAACAAAGAGAATACGCAACTAATCGATCAAGAATATAAGGTCCAGAAAGAAGAGAAGGGGCAACGAGAGATAGCGGAATTGAGACCCATGAGACCCATCGGGCAATTGAAGGAGGCTGAAAAGCTAATGATTAAAAAATAACTGGTGGCTGAGCTTACTTTGTCGAAACCGTAGTTCACAACTGCAAGAAAAACAGCAACGGTTGAATGAACATAAACCATAATTTTGAGTAATTCCTGAAGTCGTGCTAAACACGGCCGTCGTGAAAGACGATGACATATTGCGGCTGTTATTAGTGGAGAAAGAATGCAGAGAGGGAGTTGGGTGGAAACACCAACTGCCGGTAGAAATGGGAAGATGCATAGGATCAAGCAAGTCAACATCCACGTTTTAGACCTTCAACGAAAGTGGTTAACCATTCAGGCTGGTTTGGCTCTTACCAATAGGAAACAATCGCATCAGAATAGAATTGAGGTAGAAACATTAGAAGAACAAATACAGCTGCTAGAAATGCACGGTCTACAAAAGTTAAGACAAAGATGCCAACTGTTATGACTGAAATGGTTGAAATTGTTTGAAAGAATGATTTAGCCAAAAACTCACTAAATCCAATACATGTCAGAAAGGGTTTGGCGAATAGTTCTTTTGAAACCAACTTATTCAACCAATCAGGCTGTGCGAAGAAAGTAACTGAACGTTCCCTGGCATATTTCATCAGTCCAGAATGATTTTCCAGTATGGATATCAGGTAAATGGGAAGGATAATATACACAGTCTGCGAAAAGCTCAATGAGCAGTAGATGGAAAATGCAATAGAACAGAGAAAAGGAGTGACAAACACTCGATGTGGAACGAGTAGAGTGTAGCTAATCCGCTGGCTGGAGCTGAAAAATATTTATAACTGTTTTTGGATTATTCGGAATTTTCTCACCTATTAAGGAATGAGATAACCAGAGCAATCCAAGCAATGAAACTGCAACTGACAGCTGCTCCAAGCATTTGTCGATCATATCGGTGATAAAAAACAATAGCTTCTTTCATTAAATAAGCATTATCTGCAAACAGTGATGTAGCCGCTGAAAATCGACGATCTCGTCCCAGGCTGATCAATGTGTTTTGAAGAGACTCCATTGCTTTGTCTCCGAATTTATCGAACTGATGGAACCATAATCTATTCGATTTTGCGTTTCTCAGAAAGATTATCTGCTCTTTCAGCTGAAATAATTCGTGTTAGTGGATCAATGGAGAATAAGTTCAAACCTGTCTAAAATTGGCCTCGATAGCTTTGAACTGGTAACTAGAACTTCGAGAATCCATCATTTGAACTGGTAGTATGCCCATTGAATTCACAGGAATCGGACAGCCAATCAGAGAAGAAATCAGAGGAGCCAAATCAATCTGTTGAATGTCTAATTTTTGGCCTCCCTTTTTTATTCCAGCACCCCAAGCAACGAACGGGGTCAGCACTTCATCATCACTTCCAGCACCATGCGATCCCCAATCTGTCATTCCATGATCCGATGTGAAAAGCCAAGCGGTATTCTGATCTTGGAAAAAGTCATCCACGATTTTTTGAACTTTCTCAACACCTTCATCGACCACTGAAACAAATAAGTAAGCATTCAATCGAAACTCGGGTTGAACCTTTGATGTTCTGGATATACTGAGTTGATCTAGGTTTGTTCCCGTGTCCATTTGTATCAATACCAAGAAGATGTAAAAAGAATACACTTTTTGGTTTGTTTAACTTTGCTTTCAGTTCCTCATTTGTTTTAGCAGATGCCATAAAATCCTGATAAAATAAGTTTTTTAAACAACTTTCAATGCCTTATTTATTTAATAATCTTACCTCGAATTTGTCAAAAACCCACTTGTCCAGATTGGAAGCATCTGCCGCAGCGAAGTCTTCTTCATCAGCTGAGTATGAATATGAAACTGCATTGGGAAGGTCATCAAATAGGTTAACAATGTCTGGACTGCCCCACATCCAACTATTTGATGATAGATTGAAAACGCGTCAAATTGTACTGGATTCTTTTTCCACCCTTTTGCAACTGCGCTGATATCTTCAGTAATTCCAGCAAAAATGGCTACATGTCCTGGACGTGATTCTGTTGGAACATGTGATCGGGACAGACCATAGATTCCCTGAATTTAAATTAGTAAAATGAAGTCTGGGATATTTGAAATTGACTCACTTTCCTGTTGTTCATTATTGAATGGAGATATGGTGACATTTCCGGATACTTGTTGAATGTGTCATATCGTAATCCATCTGTAATGAAAATCAAAATATTTAACAACTCTATAAATAAGTTTATTTACCTGCTGAAATAACGAAGACTCGCTTAGCTGGGAAATCCTGACTGTTGATAGACTGTGGTGGTATTCCATGGACCAAGGGACTTGTATAATAAACATCGAAAATTGAATATATAAGAATCAAATGAACTGTTATGCTAGCTATAAGGATGCCCCACGACATTAGGGATTATTCCCCAACTCTTATAAATTTTATTTTGTTCTTCTTATCGCAAAACGAGGTCAATTCGCTGTGTAAAGTTGACTGATGAGACACACACACATTGCTTCAACTCCTGCAATTGCAACTCAAAAATGCCCGCGGACTAGTTTTCCCCCCTCCGCAAAATCCTCGGCCAGGCAAAATAATTTCTTTTTTCAACGATTTTTTTTCACTTTTTGTCGGTGTAAATTCAATAAGTTTGTTTTTGGAATTACAGAGCAAATGATAGGTTATCCAATTGTATTCAGATGTTGCGAATGCACAGTTGAAGAACGTAAGTATTTATGATATTTGAGCAAAAATGAATTATAATATTGAATATTTTCAGAAACCATGGAACATCTAGAGAGCCATATTTGGAGCCGACATTTACAAGCTTTCCCATTCAAATGTGCTCACTGTGATTTCCCAGCTCTCAGTGCCATCAATTTACTGGAGCATTTTGCTCAGAATCACAGTGAAGTAACGGTGAGTGTTTCGCGACATTTAATCGGAAAAATTTAACTAAAACGCATTCAAATTTTTTTTCAGACAGTCGAATTCAAGCGAAATTTAGATGATGAGAACCGATTTCGAAAAATGGTTGCCGAATCTATCGCGATAGAAATGATTGAGAATTCGCAACAAGATTCGAACTCTCAACTCAGCCATATGGACCCAATGGTAAGTTGTTTTGCAATGCTTTCATTAAAAAATCGTGTTTTAGATGCAGTCTGATTCAGCTCAAATAATGTTGCTGCCTTCTCAGAGTGACCAATATGAAGTTGGTTTTTTTTAAACATTAAATATGACAGCAATATATTTCTTAGGACCTCGTCGGCCATCGATCACCTGACGATGACGATTTCGGAGTTTTGGAGGACGATGAAAATGTTGAAGGTAAATACTTATACATGCCTGTTTTCACATTTAAAAAAATTTCTTCATTTTTCAGAATTAATCGAAGATGATGAAGACGATGATTACGTTGATGAACTTGGAAATCCAGTCTTTATTGGTGCTCATGATGATTCGAATTACATATTAGACGATGATCTATCTCAGCAAGGAACTATGCGCACAACGAGCAGCTATGTGAGATTTTCTTTTTAGGATTATCTGACTTCTCCGTATCATATTTTCAGCAGTTAAAATACATCCGTACTAGAAGAATGGATAAATTGATAGACAATGTGGTGGTTAGTGCTTCGCGAAGAAATTTGCCTGTTTCTGTACGTTTACGAGAATTTATGAATTTTCTTAGAGTCCTTCACTTTCAGGCAGATACAGTAGAAGACAGTTCTTATGACCCCGACGGTGATCGCTCTGGAAAAATGGATAGATATCAATGTGATCAATGCCCAAGAACATTCAAGGTGTGAGACATATGCAGATTTCGAAACGATACTATCGGTTTTCAGTTTCAATCTAAGTTGGACGAACATCGACGGGCACACCTCGGTGTCCGACCCTTTCGATGTCTCTATTGTATTCGAGAGTTCACACAGAAAGGAGCGCTGAAAACCCATATGAGGTTGCATACTGGAGAACGACCATTCGTTTGTCAATGGGAATGTGGAAAACATTTCGCTTCTGCGTCGGCTAGAAGGCATCATGAAAAAACACATAGTGGGGAGCGGCCGTACATTTGTAGTGTGTGCGGCAAGGGTTTTACAAAAAATTCACATGTCGTGCGACATCTTAAGGTAATTACTGTGAGATTTTTTTTGTTCAGAACACAAATTTGTTTCAGAATATCCACAACACCGTGCTGATTCGAGAAGCAATTATGAGGGGGGAAGTTCCAGCTGACCATGTAAATATATCCTTCTCTAGTATCCCTAATTCACTTTTCGAATTTTCAGCCTGCTTCCAATCATATAGTGGATATAGTGCCACGTGGAAAGGAGCTTCATGTAGTTAATGATATTGTTGGTCAGTGAATTATTACAAAACTTTTGTGTACTTTTGGCACAAAATTCATTCTGGCACAAAAGGTCCCACAACGAAAACTACCCTAACCTAAAAATTGTTCAGTTTTTGAGAATTTATTCTCTCGTTTTTCACTGCTTTTCGTCGAGTTTTCTGTCCATTTGCCTAAAAAAGTACGGCAGTTTCAAACTTTTGATAGAGAGAAAATTGACTGGAAACGCACTTAAATTGAGAAAATTAAATGAACTTTTTATAGGTTACTGTAATTATCGTTGTGGGACCTCCGGCCACTTCCACCAAATTACCAGAAAAATATATATCTTGAATTAATCGTAATTTCTTGTGAAGCAAATTAGAGTTGTGCAATAATTCCTTCTCGCCTTTTCCCTTTAGTTATGCCCTTATCCATCCCAAATCCGATTCAAATCGAAATTTTAATCCCGTAAATTTTCAGAACAAATCCACGAGGAAAAATTCAACGAACGACTGCCGATGTGAACAAATTTCTTTGAAAAAAAAACACTTGTAAAATTTTTGTATCTTCGATCCCTGCCATTCTTTCACAAATTACGGATTTTATCTTTATTATGTGATTCTTTTATAATAAAGTTTCTTGATTTTTTCCTTCTTTTTACGAAGAATTACTAATGTATTCTTCTTCCCATTTCCGAGATTAGTCAACTACTCGCCCCCACACCACCCCTTTTTCTTATAGCACTTATCGAAATAAGGTGATTAATAATTGAGAGAGTCTTCCCATTCATTCAATTCTTCGCCAGGTCTTCATCTCTTCTTTTCCGTTTTTGCACTTATCAACGTTACATTTTTATACTCATTCTATCCTAATCTCTGTTTGAATTTTTTTTCAATCTGGCTGTCGTTTGCTAGTTTTTTTCTATCTATCAATTTTTGGGTGGTCATTCTCTAAATTCTCGTGTTAATATTCCGGAAAGAGAAGACTGACATGAATTCAATTTCATCAAAGAGACAACTATGTCAAATAGTTAACGAACCAGAAAAAAAAATATCATCCGAGCAATTATACCAAATCTAGACACGCACTTTATTTTTGCACTTTTTAAATGAATTTTCGTGAATCATAAAGTTCAAAGTTTCGATTTAGGACGTTGACTTTTTTCAAAAATAAATTCTATCGGGTTCAGGAAAATTTAACATAAATATCGTATTTCCTTTAATAGAATAATACCCAAATCATTAACTTTGAGCTCAATAATCTCAATTCCTGTGGAAGATATCAAAAATAAGTCAACTGATAAAAATTTTTTGCAGGTTCTTACGCCAACCCATGTTTAGGGTCATAACTTGAGAGCTGTTAGAGTTATCTGCCTAATTTTTTGAAAATCGGATTCGGGACAACAAATTCCATCTTGTGGACAAGTAATGAAACCTTGAAAACTACCCGAGTTATCTGGAAAAGTCTGAAAATATGACTTTTACAAGTTGCAAGTTTATACGTCCACTCCAAAGATCAGTAGATCACGACCTCCAGCGAAGACGGAGGAGTCCAATTTTGATTCTTCCTTCTTGGGTAAGGGCTTGGAAAAGAGAAAAGTGAAATGGAAGGTGTAAAAAAAGGGATTTATTGAAAAATAATTTCAAATATAAATATTCCTGAACATTTAACCAAAAATTAGGAAAAACGACAAGTTTCAAAAGTGTACTGATTAGCCAGACTTCCGTCTGTTGATTTGATCCCTTTCGCCACGTAGAGGCTCAGTACATGAAAGGGAAAATGGGTTTTCACTGGGGGAAAACACCAACAAAGAACCACTGTCTCCGAGGAGACAGTTTTCTAATTTCTAATTGTTCTTCTTCACTGCTAAAAAGCTATACGATCGCTATTTATTGTTTTTGTTCATTTGTTTCTTTTTTCTTCGATTGAGTCTTTTGCAAAAGGGGGAACGTTCAGTGAAAATGGTTTCACCTAGCCATGAACCACCAAACATGACGACCCAGAGGGCCTTTTAGTACTTTATTCGCATCCGACCAATTGAAAGAAAAAAGTAAATGAAACAATAGACAGCTTACGCAGGGAGCTTCAGGGCAGTCAGAAAGTGCTAGGGAAAATTATCAAACTAATTCAAAAAGTGGGATTTCTCAAAGGATTGTTTTTTTTTTCAATACATGGAATTTTTTCAACGTGGGCATAGGTAGGGGCCTGACCTAATATCTACATTCAATCCAAATCTACATTCAAATTTCTTTTTTTTTAACTTTTCACACGTTATGCAATAAACCTTTAAATCAATCAATATTAGGTCAGGCCCCCTACCTCTGCCCACGTTGAAAAATTCCATGTATTGAAAAAACAATCCTTTGAGAAATCTCACTGTTTGAATTAGTTTGATAATTTTCACTAGCACTTTTTGACTGCCCTGAAGCTCTCTGCGTAAGCTGTTTATTGTTTCATTTACTTTTTTCCTTCGATTTGTCGGATGCGAATAAAGTACTAAAAGGCCCTCAGGGTCGTCATGTTTGGTGGTTCATGGCTAGGTGAAATCATTTTCACTGAACGTTCCCCCTTTTGCAAAAGACTCAATCGAAGAAAAAAGAAACAAATGAACAAAAACAATAAATAGCGATCGTATTGCTTTTTAGCAGTGAAAAAGAACTATTGAAAATTAGAAAACAGTCTCCTCGGAAACAGGGGTTTTGTGTTGGTGTTTTCCCCCAGTGAAAACCCATTTTCCCTTTCATGTACTGAGCCTCTACGTGGCGAAAGGGATCAACAGACGAAAGTCTGGCTAATCAGTACACTTTTGAAAATTGTCATTTTTCATAATTTTTGTTTACATGGTCAGGAATATCTATATTTAAAATTGTTTTTTAATAAATCCCTTTTTTACATCTTCCATTTCACTTTTCTCTTTTCCAAGCCCTTATCCAAGAAGGAAGAATCAAAATTGGACACCTCCGTCTTCGCTGGAGGTCGTGATCTACTGATCTTTGAAGTGGACGTATAGGCTTCTTTTCCAGTTAACTCGGGTAGTTTTCAAGGTTTCATTACAAAAATTGACCACAAGATGTAGTTTGTTGTCCCAAATTCGATTTTCAAAAGAAATAGGCCGTTACCTCAAGTTATGACCCTAAACATGGGTGGACATAAGAACAACTGTATAGGGTTGCCTTCTATTAGATTGTTCACCGCAGCTAATCAAAAGCAGTCTCATCTGATCTATAAAAGAAATTTACAGTAATCAATGTTTATGGTTAAACCTCTCAATAAAAACTACTCCTGTCATGCTTTGAGAACGTTTTGTGTTGACAGAGCTTTTATTTATTTGAAAAAAATCTTTAGGTCTTGAAAAACTTTTTGAAGATAAAGTACACTTGTGAAATATAAATTCAGAAAAATCAGATTTTATTCGGCATCTGAAAATGAATTTATCGCAAAGTTTTGGTTGAATACTCGGTAAATGTGGGCAACTTCTTCCCCAACTCTGGGCAGCCTTTGTCCCAACTCCAGGCAACTTCTAGCATTTCATAGGTCAAACACTGCCCAGCTTTAGGGTAGATTCTGCCCAGCGTCTGCACACTTGTAGACAGTCCGCTCTGGCCCCTCCCTTCCCGCTGTTCTCCTTCTTCAAGATTTGCTAGCTTTGCTAAACAGCATTCATTTTATGTAAGGAGTTAAAAGAAGTAACAGAAAAGGGTGAAAAACAGAAAAAGAAAACAGAAAAAGTAAAAATGATAGAAAAAACAATTCGATCAACGATAATTATGTATATCTTTGCCTCCTAGCTATCGGTATCTTCAACTCCGAGCTTCGATTTGTACTGCTTCCTGTCAGATGAGTGGAGCATTCCGATCGTTTCTGCAAAAACATGGAAGTTTAGTTTTGACGTAAAGAGTATGAGTACTCTCACCTTGCAATTTACGAGAATCCCATTCTGTTGGTCAAAGTGATAAGTTCGAAGAAGTTGCCTGGAAAAGATCTAGTTTTCATAGAAAAGGTTTCTAGAAACTCACAATGCCGCATGAATTGCATGACGAATGAGCTTGTCGGCTGACTCGTAAGATTTTCGACGTCGAACTATTTCTTTGCAAGCTTCCTCGTATGGGTACGGCAATCCTTTGACAAACTCATCATCCGAATCCGCATCGGTGGGAAGAAAATTGACTCAATGTGAACCCTAATTTAGAAAAAAAAATCATACTCCTGGGTGGGATTCTTCTGATGGGATTTTGTAGAGTTCTCCTCTTGCCAACTGATATTCCATCTCTCAAAATGAAACATAACAAAACTCATCCTTCTCTATACTCACCAATTCTTCTCGTTTTTTGTTCGCTTGGCCCGATTCCACACATCCTCCTGTTCCTTCGTTGAAAACTGAAAAAAAGATAAGAAACTGACAGTATTTAAAAAATTTAGAGATAATCGTAAGAAAATTCAAAGAAAACGTATGAAAAGTATGTTTAAAACGTTAAAAAATGCTGCATCATCGCAACCTCCTGAGCTTCTACCCAGCGTCTGCCCAGCCTTTGCCCCTCTGCGCGCCGTTTGACTATTGCCCAACTTCTGCCCAGTCTTGGATCAAAGTCTGCCCGCAGCCCAATTCACAAAATAAAACTACTTTTAAAATCGAAAATTTGAAATAACATTGCTATAAACGACAAAACAAATGTAAGAAATACCATTAAGTTGCAGCCATTTTCGAATCTACGGTTTAAGATTCAGAAGAAAATGTATTACTTTTGCGAGATAGGGACAAACATCATACCTGTTGAGAACCACATACAGAACCGGTGAATAAGATATACGAAAACGTATTTTTCGGTAGATTTTCGGTCATTTTGACCATTTTCATGAGTCTGGAGCTCGTGCTGCCAAGTTTCCAATCACTTAAAAAATTTTGGAGGTTTTACAACAGACCTAGATTAAATACTGTATACTTTCACTAACTTTAAGAATATTGGCTAAAATAAAAATCAAAACTGCTATCTCACAACAATCGGAAAAGTACAAACCAAGTTGTTTATTTCAACATATCAATGAGCAACTTTAAAAATAGTCTCACAAAATAACCAAAAATCATAAGATGCTTAGAAAATTTGACAGTACGCTCTTAATTTTATTAAAATGGGCCCTGTATCTTCTTTTTTGTTTCTTATTTGTCCTGTTTTCCATTTCCCTGTTGCTTCCAATTTTAATACCACTTAGCACTTTGTGGAACAGTTGGTCAAGAGTGAAAAGTTCCAAAAATAGTGTAAGAAAACAAAACAAAAAGATCTTAAATACATGAATGTCACATGGGTCTATAAAAATAGAGGAAACGAATGGGGGTTTGTAGTAGTACAGTAGGCGTGGGAACAACCGCCTGCGCACTCTGTATCACCCTCTCTCTATCACCCAAAAACACACGTCAATCAGATATCCCTTTCTCATATGCCCACTCTTGTTTTATCAATTCTCTCACATGTTTTCTCAGAATGTGAAAACCACAAAAAGCTGGGAAAGCGTTTCCATTCGGATGTATTATAATGAGAAACGGTTCCATGGATACAATTCTCAGTTTCTTTATTAATCTCGCATCTCATTTTTCTCTTTTTTGAACTACATCTTTTTGCATTTGATTCGTTTGGTGTCTAGGTCATCTATATGAATCCAGTCTTCTTTTTTTATACAAAATCACTTTATGATTGTTTTTTTTAAGGTAATTGGCATCAGTTTAAAAAGAAGAGAACTTCGAAGAAACGATTCGACAAGTTCCAGAATGTTGCGTTGGCATTCGGTTCGAAGAAAACAGCACCAACAGCTACAAGGTAAGTATTTGAAATTACCAAAAAAGTTTGAAGAAAATGGTGACTATACTGAAATTGAGTATTTTTTCTTTGTAGATTATTCTAGAACGTTCTTGATTGAAACTGGTCAAAGTTTTAATTATTTTCCAAAGCTAAAATAAGAATGTCCTTCTATCAAATACAGCTAGTAATATATCCTTCTTCAACGTTCTTCTCTTGAAACTTCCAATTCAAGAAAAAATGGGAATATTGGAATATGATAGAGATGGGAAAATTAAACTGGACCGTATGACTTCAACCGGCCCTTCTATTGTTCCAAGGCCAATCCGGTTTCTGGAAAAAGAGTTCAGTTTCAAAAAAAATTCAGTTTCTGGAAAAAGAGCGTTTCAACAAATTTCTGTGAAATTGTGGAATTTCTGGATTATTTTGCACTGAAAATGTACGGAAATTTTTAATGTTAGCCTCCTATTAAAGGTACACTTCCCGAAATACCGAGATCCAGAAAATATGGTTTATTTACCGTATACTGTAATATCTGTAATAGAATAACCCCCGCCCTGATAACTTTCAGCCCATATATCTCCCTTCCTGTGAAAGATATCAAAAAGCGGTCATCTGATAAAATGTTTATCATAATATCAGCGACATTATATCAAATGACAATTTTTTTGATATCTTTCACAGGAAGCGAGTTATGTGGGCTCAAAGTTGTCAGGGTGGGGGCCCTTCTATTAGAGGTTTTAAGGTATTCTGAATAAAACCTTTGATATTGGAAACTCTAATTTTAGAACTTCACTTTAGGTATTCACTTATGAGAAGTTGTGGTTTCCGACATCCTGAGATTCTGATTTCGAAAAAAAAAAACAAAAATGAGATCTCGTTAATTTTCTTGAAGCTTGTTTTTCATATTTTTGAATGTAAGCCCAATACACAGGTATTCATATTTAAAAAAAACTCCTTAAAACTTTCCTAATTTCTCACTTTTGAGAATTGGTTTTTTCAATGAAGTCAGCATATTGTGTCTAGAAGACAAAGAGAAAGAATTGCCTAAAAAAGAAATGAGTTCACTGTGAGTCCATTAGCTCAAGTCAGTTTCGACTCATCTCATAAAAAAGGAAGTCTCGTTTTCGAATAATTGCCCTTGGAAACCAAAAAGAACACTTTTTTCCAACATCTCCATCTGTCTACTTTCCGATTTCGGGCATCTTATTATCTTCAGAGTGATCCTTGATCTTTCATATTCAACACATTCCCACGCAGTCATTCCATATGTTATTCCTCGAAATCACCAAGAAAAGAAAGAATCGAAGAATCGAGAAAGAAAAAAAAACTGAAATGAGTCTCTCCAGAAAAGCTCTGTCTACTCGCTTCCGGTTGCCTGTCAGCTCGGCGTTTTTTTCTGCAGAAAATGAAAGATTTCACTCATTTCCTCACCTCTTTAATCATCCTGTCTTCTTCCATTTCTCCTCCCTTTTTCTTCATTTCCATTTTCACATTACGCTCCAGATTCTGATTCTAGTCGTGATGATTGTTCCTTCTGAATCTATTTTATTTGCCGATGAACTTCCTATTCTTGATTGTATATCAGGTAACGTTTTGAAAAGGGCAATTGCAATAGAGAAATATTCATTCATGTTGAACTTTATGGGTAAAAACAGGATGCGTAAATAAAAAAAAGACACAAAAAACACTCCAAACTATCTGACTTACCGTAAAACCTGTATTAGAAGGCCCTTCTATTGCTCCAAGATATCTCCGGAAAACCCCTCTATTACATGGCCCTTCAATTAGAGAGAGCTCTTCTATTCTTCCGGTCATTTCTTTCCGAAAATTTACATTAAAAATACGGTGAATTTTTGTTCAGACTTTATGAAAATCTATCAAGTTCACCAAAATTGAGAAAGTCTTTGAACAAAAAGAAGTTTTTCAACAAATTTCTGGAATATTTTGAAAGGGACCACTTTATTTCAGTGGCCCACCAGAGATGTCCGGATTCCGGATTCCGGATTCCGTATTCCGGATTCCGAATTCCGGATTCCGTGTTTTTTTCATTCCGGATTAAAAAAATATTTTTGTCCGGATTCCGGAAAATTTTAATTTGTCCTGATTCCATATTCCGAAAATGTTTTTTTTCCGGATTTCCAACATATTTGTTAATTTGCAAGAGTTCTTTGACTTATTTGAACTTCCGCTACTAAAAAGGAAAAATATAGCACGATATGTGTTTTTTGAACTTTTCTGCCCATTTAGAGAACTCGAAATTCCGGATTTCGGAAAATTAATTTCATTCCGGATTCCGGATTCCGTGAAATTATTATTTGTCCGGATTCGGAGAAAATTATTTTATTCCGGATTCCGTTTCTCAAACAATTCATTCCGGACATATCTGGGGGCCACCTCTTTTTTCAAACCCTTCTTCCATTAGAGCGGCCCTTCTAATACAGATTTCAAAGAATATGCAATCATTGACACTCTTATTTCATTTCTGCAGACGTGCTCAATCTCAATCTCATTTCTCTATCCACCCTCTACCGTAGTAATCAAGAATTCAGTTAGTTATATGCGGCTATCCTATCAGATTTCTTTTGGTTTTTTTTCTCTTTGGAGAAAACATAGCAACTAGTAAGAAAGAATTGGAAATGTATCTCCCAAATGATATACAAACAAAAAAACAAGTCTTTCTCACCCCTCATTTTTTGTGTCCTTCACATATTCTAACCCCCAAAATCCTACCTCATTTTTCTTTTCAGCTGAGCTGTCCAGCGGAGCAGCAAGTATGCTATCCGCGCCGGAATCGCGGCGGGTCAGTAGATCTATGAGTGTAAAAGGTAAAATTAATTCGAAACTCCTGTCCTGATTTTAGTGTTTTTCAGCTCCAACAGCAGCCGAATACATGCCGTTACCAGTTGTTGATAAACCTCTTACTCTCACAGTTTCTAATTCCCACAGCATTGATCCAAATGAGCCGATCGCAGCATTAGGAGGTCTGACTCCAACAAAAGAAGGGCGAGTTGCAGCATTGAGAAGGAGGAGTTCTATGGTTAGAGATAAATGGGCAACTAAAATGGAGTTTCTGTTAGCTGTTGTCGGGTATGCCGTGGATTTGGGTAACATTTGGAGGTGAGTTCTCAAGTTTACTAACAAAAAGATTGGGAAGGTACATTACATATGCGATGGGTTGGAGCTAAATAATCTCGGTGTTTTTTTTTGGCCGCAACTGCACTTTCTATAGGCTCGTTGAAACGGATACCGTATTCCCTGCAGTAGATGCGCATCAAACCCGTCAACTTTGAGCTCAATTATCTATGTTCCTGTGAAAGATATCAAACATTTGTCAACTGACAAACTATTAATCATTAAATCACCAATGTTTTGTCAGATGGCAAATTTTTTATATCTTTTACAGGAATCGAGATAATTACTCTAAAATTTGACGGATTAGGTGGGATTCTATTAGAGGAAATTCGGTAGTTCAGATTTGACAGGTTTTCACATACGGAGAAATCAAGAACGAAAGCTAGTACATATTTACTGTGGAATGGAAAAATCTATTTAGATTTTTTTTTTCATAGGCTTAACATTTTCGAATTGGATAAATGCTTTCCTATTGATATTTTCCTACTCAAAGCCTTCCAATTCCGAATTATTACAATCAGTATTAAATGCTAGCTTAACTTATCTGAGAAATTAAATCTCGAATGGTAATTTTAATAATGGTAATTTTTATAATGGAAAACCTTGTTTTCCGTTATGAAAAATTGTTTAAGATAAGTCTTTCCAGAAAAAAACTAGGACATCGTAAACACTTTAATAGAAAGTCAAACCGCGAACTTTGAGTCAATATATCTCGGTTCATGTAAAATATATCAAGAAGTTGTTAACTAACAAAATATATTTGAAATTAAGTTAATCATTTTGTTAGTTAAGCACTTTTTTATATCTGTCACAGAAACAGAGATATATGAACTCAAAGGGGACGGTCCGAATGGCCTTTTAATAGAGTGTTTTCGGTAGTTGGTCTGAACATTTTTAATCATTCAGATTTTTCCTTCATACGCTGAAATGTTGAAAACCTAACACATATTTCTTATATTCAGATTCCCCTCTGTCTGCTATAAACATGGTGGTGGTGCTTTTCTGATTCCATACTTCATAATGTTAATGATCGGAGGACTGCCAATGTTTTATATGGAACTTGTCCTGGGACAATTTCATCGTGCTGGATGTATTGGAATCTGGAGAAAAGTCTGTCCGTTGTTTCGAGGTAAACAATTAGTGTTTTATAGTTATTCAAAAACGAATTTCAGGAATCGGATATGGAATATGTTGTATCTGTACATTCATAGCCATTTTCTACAATGCGATTATTGCTCAAGCTGTCTATTTTGCGATCGTATCTCTTTCAGTATGCAATTTCAAAACTACATCAATTTTAATTTCAAAATGAGATTTTTCAGAAAATTTGGGATTCTGAAGTTCCCTGGGCATCATGTGGTAATCCATGGAACACACCAAGATGTTCGGATGATCTCAATGTTACAATCTCTCGAAACGGAACTCGGTTAAGCACTCCATCGGAGGAATATTACTTGTAAAGCTTGTTTCGATTTGTTATAAATCATTTTATACTTATAGGTACAACGTCTTGGAAGTTCAAAAGTCCACAGGCTTCGATGATCTTGGAGGTGTGAAAACTTCAATGGCTGTTTGTCTTTTGGCTGTTTTCACCATGGTTTATTTTGCTCTCTGGAAAGGACCACAGTCTTCTGGAAAGATTGTTTGGGTCACTGCTACTGCTCCATATGTGATTTTATCGATTCTTTTGGTTAGAGGACTTCTTCTTCCTGGTGCTCAAAACGGTCTCTATTATTATATCACACCCGATTTTGAAAAACTGAAGGACCCAGCTGTTTGGTCTGCAGCTGCCACTCAAATCTTCTTTTCTCTTGGACCTGGATTTGGAGTTCTTCTAGCACTCAGCAGTTACAATGATTTTAATAATAACTGTTATCGGTATTTCAAAAAATTTACTGAGCTTTTCACTTATCTATCTTCAGCGATGCTGTAACAACATCCATCATCAATTGTGCCACTTCATTCTTCTCAGGATGTGTTGTTTTTTCCACTCTTGGGTACATGTCTTTGTTGACGAATCGACCAATTAATGAGGTAATCACCGTAGCCCCACTAGAATTTCAATTCGAAAATTCTAAACCATACTAATTACGAATCGTAATCTGATTTGTAGGTTGTTGGTGAACATGATGCATCTCTCATCTTCATTGTTTATCCACAAGCTCTCGCCACTATGGATTACAGTTGTTTCTGGTCTCTAATCTTCTTTATAATGCTAATCACTCTTGGAATTGATTCTACTTTCGCCGGAATCGAAGCTTTTATCACTGGATTTTGCGACGAATCTCGGTTTTTAACGAAAAATCGAAAGTGGTTTGTGCTTGTGATTTGCATCATTTACTACTTCCTCAGCTTCCCGGCTATCAGCTATGTAAGAATTTCATTAACTTCTCTCTAATATTACATATTTCACTTGACAGGGTGGTCAATTTGTAATTCCATTCTTGGATGAGTACGGAGTCTCCTTGTCTGTTCTTTTCATTGTTACTTGTGAGATGATCGCTGTTTGTTGGTTCTACGGAGTTGACCAATTCTCAAAGGATATTCGTGCAATGTTGGGATTCTATCCAGGCATCTATTGGCGTGTTTGTTGGACCTGCTCACCAGTTTTCATCAGTGTAAGTTTTCGAAAAAAAGTTCTTGTCTAGATGTAAATTCAAAATTTTCAGTTGATCTTCGTAATGACCGTATATAACAGTTCTTTCAAACCGATTCAAATGGCTACCTACACTTTCCCATGGTGGAGTGTGATTTTGGGTGAGTCCATTTTTTTAAAATCCAGCTACGACGTGAAACCAGATACCGGAAAACCTGTATTTGAAGGGCCCACTAACTGTTAACTTTGAGCCAATTTTTCTCGGTTCCTGGGAGAAATTTTAAAAAGTGGTCAACTGATAAATTGTTTATCATAATATCAGAAGTTTTTTGTTATTTTTTTGGACTTCTAGATTTTACGGTATTCAACGTTTTGAATAAAAATTTGTTTTTCACAATCGAATATCTAAATTTAAGGATGGTTTCTTCGTTTGATCTCTGTTCTTGCTATTCCGGTATTTGCCGTCATTTACTTGCTCAGTGGCAATGGAACTCTCGCCGAAAGATTTAAATGGGCAATCACTCCACAACAACGTCGGAACTCTGCAACGTCTCTTGCCGCCGATCCAACCCAAATTATTGATAGTTCTCTTCTTGACCCTATTCACACATTGACACCAGTTTAAACAATTTTACATTCTAACCAGCAATTTTCACGATTTTCCTGATAACCTGACTTTCCCGATCGTCTCTAATTTTGCAGATCTCTATTACCAGCAAACGCGGTGCCATTCCATTTTTCTTCATCTCATATTCCCAGTACCACAGCTTTCTAATTCAAGTATTTCGAATGTGTATATGTTTTTTGATTGACAAATATTTATTTATGCTCGTTATTTTTGAAGGATCAACCCCCTAATTAGAATGATGAATAAAAATGTAATTTCTGGTCAGATCAGCAGCTGAAACCGTATTAAAACATGGAGAAGGGATGGTTAGTTGAAAATGATCACAGGAAACAATTGACAGAGGGAATATAGTTCTATGCATTATGTACACTACCCGAATAATCTAGAGATACAATGGTTGACTGGCTAATGAACGAACAATCCAATGAACACATCTTTCGATATTAGTTCCTTCGAGTGCCGAAACGGGTAACACAGCCAGATCAGACCGATGATTATCATCTTCCAGCAACATCCGAACCTAAAAAAAGAATCTTATTGTATAAAACGGAACAAATTTGAATGATTTTATTATTATACTCGTATAAAATTTATGAGCTGTGAAGAAGAAAAACTTGTGGGCGTGGCCAACGGTCCCGTAACGAAAACAACCGTAACCTAAAACTTCATTTTCTGCGGCCATCAGGTTTTCTCTTCCACAGTTCCGAACGAGATTTCTTATAAAGTCATAATAACTTGATTTCTCCCTTATTACTCACCTCCGCAGCAGCTGCTGATCCTTCCATTTCACTTTTGTTTACTGCAACTAAAACTGGTAGATTTTGTACAATTTCATTTGACATAACTTCTTCTGAAATTCACTATTTTGAAAGTTCCCCGAAGATTTTTTTAAACTGACTGAATTGTGAAGCGACTGTTGGAAACAAGTCACTTCTTGTGGCATCTACAACAAAAATCAAAGCGTTTGCATCGTCGTAGTATGTAGCCCAAAGTTCTCGTAAACTTTCTTGTCCGCCGAGATCCCAGAAGTGAAGACACGTATTGTTCAGCTCAACCTTTCCGGCTGGAAAAACACATCTAGCTACTAGAAGCTCTGATAGTCTTATTTTTGAAACTCACTATTTAACCCAACGGTTGCTGTGATTTTCGACGGATTCAAAACACCATAATCTTTCACGAAATGAGATTTAGTTTGCTCCAAGAATGTCTGCAGTTATTTTCCTGATATGGAATCATCATGTGTTGTGATAAACCTACCGTTTTCCCAGAGTTGTCTAGTCCAACAATAACCACATAATAGTCTTTTTTCTTGAAAAACTTCTCCCAAATCCCGGCAGATAATGTGTACATAAGTGTAAAAACTGTTGAGCTCAGCAGACAATTCTGTTTGAAACGAGAACTTGTGTTTGTCTATAGTGGACAGCTAGGAGGTTGTTGGCAATGATGCGAAAACGCGCCAACGGTCTGTTGACGCACTTTGAAAACGACTATGGCTTGAGTGTCGTGTAAGAAAAATGTTAATATTATTCGGTCGAGATGTTGTCATTCGTCTATCGTTCTGTTGTCATTCGTCTATCGTTTTTCTCCCAATTTGTTCACAAAAATGTACATTTCAGATGTTCTTCCACTTGTCACTGGACCATGAAGTCTGTCTTCACCCAAAATACTTCGGTCCCAACTTGAATGAGACTATCAAGGCGAAACTTTTCAACGAAGTCGAAGGGACTTGCACAGGAAAGTATGGATTTGTCATCGCTGTCACTACAATCGACACAATCGGACACGGCCTCATCCAACCAGGACGTGGATTCGTTATTTATCCAGTACGATACAAAGCTATCGTTTTCCGTCCGTTCAAAGGACAGGTTGTGGATGGTGTCGTTACGCAAGTCAACAAGGTTGGAATCTTCTGCGACATTGGTCCGCTCTCATGCTTCATCAGTCGTCATTGTATTCCACCGGACATGGAGTTCGATCCAAACAGCGAGAAACCGTGCTACAAGACTAATGACGAAGCCACAGTCATCCGGAATGACGATGAAATCCGCGTGAAGCTGATCGGAACCCGTGTTGATGCTAACGACATCTTCGCGATCGGTACACTCATGGACGATTTCTTGGGACTGTGCCCAGCGGAATGATACTTCTTCATTTTCAAAACCTATATATTGTAACATAATTTATTCGAATCACATTCACCATCTGTTATTTATCCTTCCATACATCATGTTATAATTAAAGGATCTCATTTTTTATTTTCTTCAAAGATTTTTATATTCCCGGTGATTTTTCCGGTTGCATATCTATAATGCTGAAAAGGGATTGTAATAGTTACCAAGTATACTTTTCAGATGAAGTTTCTTCCTGATGTTGCCATGTTTAACGAAATTCGGCAGATGAACATTCGTCAAGTAAGATTCTAATGTTTTAACTCAGCTCCTGCAGAACTTGTCGATCCGCAGACAGAAAAAAAATTATTGTGATACGAGGAATTCGAACGCGAGAACGAAAGTAAATCTCCCGAATCGGAACGCTGTTAGCAACTGAATGCGAGTGAGCGTGTTCAGTTGGTTACAGAATTCCAATTCGCGTAGTTAGATTCCGTATTGGTTCGATTATGTTGATGTTCTGTTCTGGGCCGTGCTCGTAAAATGGACTGCTCTAATGTGACCAAGTTCGTTTCCATAATTTCTCGGACCCTGAAAAATAGTGTTTTGTGTGTGATTAAGTTATTGTCCGGACNACNAGGGTTGGATTACCGAAGATAATATANAAAAGACACTGAAGAAATTAGGAGCGTTTGAGATTGAAGAGAATATGATCGTTGGATGTCTGACTACCGATTTCGCTCTTCAAAACGTTCTTCTTGCAATGAATCTCAGTTTGGTCTCGTTGTCCGGATACCGAATTCGCAAGCTTAAATCTTTTGTTCTTCGATGCCGGACGTGCTTCACAACTACTAGCGTTATGACGAAGGAGTTTTGTCCATCGTGTGGTCACAAAACCTTGCACAAAGTGAGTCTAGTTTCCAATAAATTCTACGAATTGAACAACTT